CTCTCTCTCTCTCTCTCTCTCTCTCTCTCTCCCCCCACATCCACACCCCTCGCTGTGTGCGTCTGTGTGTGACCGCACGCGCGAGAGCACACGCTCGCCCTTGTTCACATTGAAAAAAGAAGTGGCGCTAAGCCTTAACGCAAATTGAGAAAGCTAAGAAAAACAGAATGCACTCTCTATATCGTACCCAGATAAGGGAGCACGAAGCGAGGGAGGACGGAGGGCCGAGGAAGGTAACGCCACCGGAGGGAGGAGGAAGAAGGCGAGGGAGGAAAGAAGGAAGGAGAAAGGGAGTAAGGAGGGAGGGCCGATGGGGCAGGGGTGAGGGAGGGAGGAGCGAGGGTCGAGGCAGGAATGGAGGACGGGCCGAGGGAGGCGGGATGGTGATGATGCCTCCGGTGCCTCTCTCTCTCTCTCTCTCTCTCTCTCTCTCTCTCTCTCTCTCTCTCTCTGTGTGTGTGTGTGTGTGTTACATTCTGCAACTTCACACGAGCCTCCACAGGCCCGTCATACCGGTTCAGGGGTACCCAGGCCGGCCTCGCCAAAGGCCAGGCCTTTTTCTCCCGGTAGGCCCTATTAAGTCACCAGTTGGACCCCAGCGCCAGCAGACCCAGGTTGGCCCAAACGACATGACCGTTTGGGCCTGGCGGCGCTCTTGAGGCTGCCGCCCGCCGGTCTGCGCTGAACGGACATTTCGACGGTTCAGCCCACGGCGCAGGAGGCCAGCATCGAGGCCGACCGGCCGCCGGACGGTACTTAGGCCGGTCCAGCGGCCATTCTCGCAGGTTGGAACGAGAGAGCAGCGAGAGGCAGCGCTGCGCTATTTCAGTTGAGCGCAGCACCAGGAACTGCAGCGCTAGTTTAGCGCACTGCAGTTCAGGAGGAGCGAGGAGGAGCGAGGGGACTTACCTGCGACCGTGGAGCGCCATAGCTCCCGCGACCTGCAGCAGACCTCCCTCCACATGCCAAGGCGCCAGCTTGTTACCTGCAGGTTTGCCTGAGGCCCTCACCGCTTCCCACCTCTACCTCTCCTCTCCATCTCCATCTTCTTCTTCTTCAGACTTCCTCTTCTTCTTCTTCAGATTGGAGACTTGATACGAGTTGGACAGAGATCAGTGTTTGGACTTCGGTGGTAAGAGGCTGTGATACTTACCGCATTCGAGACTTGGAGATAGTTGGGATTGGTACTCGGCGGCATCACAGATTGGACACCGGTTACATTAGGACTCTGTACCTCCGACATTGCTGACTCATGGTCCACGACATTCTGACCTTGTTCGATGACATTTTGGACCACCATATCGGTGACCTTTGGATTCTATGCCGGTGACATCTGGCACTGCCTACACCTCCCACCTCCTTCGGCTCTCCTTCCACCTTCATCTGTGTATGGTTGTATGGGGCCTGAGCATCGTCTGTGATTGGCTCAGACCCCACCATCTCACGATTGTTTGTATGTTGAGTGATATCTGTATCAGTTCAGTCTATGTGAGTCAGTTCATTTCTCAGACCCGCTGCATACATGCTCATCCTATATTGGTTGACCTTTGGTTCTGCTCATGCTTGTTGAAGTATTCACTAGTATGCAACACACTCTCTTTCTCTCTGGAGGGAGGGAGGGAGGGAGGGAGGGAGGAGAGAAGACGGGCCGAGAGAGAGAGAGAGAGCACGGATTCACGATGAGCACGGATCCACGATGAGCACCGAGCACGAAAAGCACGTATCCACGATGAGCACCGAGCACCAAAGACGAGCAGCAAGTTCCCTTCGAGCACCAAAGGAAGGGGGGAGAGAGAGAGAGAGAGAGAGAGAGAGAGAGAGAGAGAGAGAGAGAGAGAGAGAGAGAGAGAGAGAGAGAGAGAGAGAGAGAGAGNAGAGAGAGAGAGAGAGAGAGAGAGAGAGAGAGAGAGAGAGAGAGAGAGAGAGAGAGAGAGAGAGAGAGAGAGAGAGAGAGAGAGAGAGAGGACCACCATGCAGGTAGAGTACCGATCACCGAGCACACGCGCACCGACGCAGAGCACGCACACGCGCACCGAGCACGGAGCACACACACGCGCACGTTCCGGAAACTGGCGGGCAATTGGAGGGGTGGCCAGCAACAACAATGTGGGCGGGCGATTGGAGGGGTGGGCCGGCAACAACAATGAGGGCGGGTGATTGGAGGGGTGGCCGGCAACACCGAAGCGGGTGGCCGGGGCAACGAAACCAGACGGGCGGGCGATTCGGCGCTCCGGTACCAACCCGCGACCGTGGAGGAGTGGCCGGGGCGGGCCACGATTACGGGCGGACGAGCGGGCGGACGATTGGAGGGGTGGGCCACGATTACGGGCGGACGATTGGAGGGGTGGACGGGCCTGCAATTCGGCACCTCCTGTAGCGACCGGCAGAATCTGAAATCTGACATCGCATGGCCCAAATCGCAGGCCGGTAACCACCGCAGACGGCCCAGATCGCAGGCTGATCAGAAAACTTTCTGATCGGCCCGCGATCCGCGCCGTCCGCGGTGGTTACCGGCCTGCGATTCGGGCCGTGCGATATGACGTTTAGCAGTTATTATAGTAGGTGTAGATGTAGATGTAGACGAGGGAGGACAAGTTGCCAAAAGCGGGCATGGATAAGATTATTAAGACACGTAATTGTGGCATCCTTTCAAGATGATTGCAGCATCAAGGTGCTGCAATCAGCATGAAAAACAGAAAAGCAATGGAGCATTATGGAGGAGAATAAAAGGTGGAAACCAAACAATATTCTGTACAAGTTTCCGACATAGAGGGGGTGGCCAAGAAGGGCGGGTCAGCATTTGGAAAAAAGACAGGTAAAGAACAATAGGAGAACTCGTTCGACAACATTTGGGTAAGAGGGGTGGGTAAGAGCGGCAGTTCAGCATTTGGAAACCAAGGAGAACTCATTTGGAAATAAAAGATCAACAATTCATAGTGCATTACGAGAACAGGAGATGTGTCGTGTACACAGTGCCTGAGACAACAAACCGCCAATCTCAACCACCCCTATAAGAATAAAAAAGGCCAGGGAACTAGGCGCGAAGTGACGACACAAATGCTCGTGCAGCCCGCTAAGGATTGTTGCTTCATCTACAAAACGAAAAGAACACTATGAACGAGGGAGAGGGGAGCGGGGCCAAAAAAAGAAAAAAAGGATAAACGAGAGGAAGGGAACCATATTGTTCTTCTTATCCTTCTTCCTTTACTTCTTCTTCTTCTGCTAACGGTGACGCCACCTCCTCTTCCTCCTTGGGCCACCATTTTGAATTGCCATTCGAAGTGCCCAAAACGCACAAGATAAAGCCACTACTCAACATTGTGTTTCCAATCCCCGATAGTGCATTTTCAATTACGTAGAGCAGTAAATCTGCTGTTGCCAACACCCCTAGCTCATTTCTTGTAGGCTCCTTCAGACGCTGTCTGTCTACAAAATAAAAATTTTCTGGGACGTTTAGCCCTCATCATCATATTACCATCATCATCATCACCATCATCCTGCCCCGCAGCCAACACCATAGGCACTCTTTGTGACTCTTCCACAAGAAGAATATTGACTGGGGTCCTTCACAGTTTGCGGCTAGGCTCTGAGAACTCAAATTGTAAGGAAACAACCAACTGGGCTGTAATGGACAGCATTTAGTTGCAGAACAAGCCTGCAAATGAGAGTATCAGCAATCCAACCCGCCCACATATATCCAGGGCTACTTCGGCCCCCTGCCGGAGACACTGGAGTAGAAACAAAAATGTATGGCACACCAAGGGCACAGGGCTCAGAAAAAGGTGCTACGAATATCTATAGGACCTTACCTCTCGAACGTTGTCCGCACAACTACGCGATACTCCTGATTAGCCACGATTGTGGAAGCACACGTTAAGTTCTTTGCTTCGAGGTTCACTGGAGACAGCCACCACACAGATGCAAGAGGTTGCTGCCTCTCTTCTTCGCCCAAAGTAGGCCGTGCTGTGGCCCCAGAAATTGGCCAGCCATCCTCTGGAGCACTGTAAAGCGGTGACTTCCGTTGGGCAGAAAACACCAGTGCTATCTTTGCCATGCAAGTCCTTGAACCATGGCGCTCATCCTCTGTTTCCCGCCAGTTGAACAATGCTTTGCTGGCAGGATCCACCTCTGTAGCTAAGCCAAGTGAGATGTTGGCATCAGTCGTGATCCGAATAGGAACTGGCAAATGATTGTGAATGACCGCTTGGGGAAGGAAGGACAGGACAACACATGGAATACCCTTCTGGAGCAATCTTGCCGTCAAGATTACAGGGACCTATTTCCAACACACAACGAGCATAAGAGCACAACAGGATTCTGTTCTATAAGTCAAGAAGAATGGACCGCGATGCCAGTTGTCATCATTCAGGTACTGTTGAGCCACTCTTCCTCTATATCAGAATTTTGGGGCAGATAAAGACACACAGCAAAACCTTGCTAACAACTGTTAAAATGAGGCATTCCGCAGAGGAGAATTGCACGTCCCTGAGCAAAGATGCCACAAACCAACAAAGAAACAGCTCTCTCTCTCTCTCTCTCTCTCTCTCTCTCTCTCTCTCTCTCTCTCTCTCTCTCTCTCTCTCTCTCTCTCTCTCTCTCTCTC